TTGCTCCTTTCACATTTGGCTTGTGACTAAATGTGCAGACTCAAGCTGTGGAGATTTCTCTCTGAACGCATGGATACCCAGAGGGTCGAGGGACTCCCAAGGGAATCCTGCTCTATAAATAGTTCTGCCTGTGTGATCCATAGTCTTTGCCTGGGAGGAGGGGATGAGAGGAACGTAGGAGGGGCTGAGTCAGAGATAAAGTGATGGATGAACAGAGACAGGAAGGCGAAGAGAAGAGGGTCTGACGTTTCTCTGAATGCTGAAGTAGAGAAGCCTCACAACTCGATGTAATTTGCTCAAATTAAACACAATTTCCTGTCTGGAAATCAACGCAATTTATCTTGCATCCTTCCTCATAACTCGAATAAACCTTTGGAGCTTTGCTGAACTGTTGGCTGCAGAAGATCCTGCTGTTTATGCATCTAGCTGTTTCCAAATACAGACTGCAATATTTGAGTTATTGGAACTTTTTACTTTCAGTGCAAAACTTTTATGCAACAATGATGCAAAAAGTGGGCAGCACGGTGGCGCAACTGGTAGAGCTGCTGCCTCTCAGCGAGCAGGTCCCTGGTTCAAACCCCGGTCCAGGGGCCCTCTGGGTGGAGTTTGCATGTTCTCTCCGTGCATGCGTGGTTTTCTCCGGGTACTCCGGTTTCCTCCCACAGACCAAAAACATGCATGTTAGGCTGATTGGTAACTCTAAATTGTCCCTAGGTGTGAGTGAGAGAGTGAATGGTTGTTTGTCTTGTTTGTCTCTGTCGCCCTGTGATGGACTTGCGACCCGTCCAGGGTGTACCCCGCCCCTCGCACAGTGATTGCTGGACATGGGCACCAGCGACCCCCCTGACCCAAAAATGAAATAAACGGGTAAAGTTAATGGATGGATGGATGATGCAAAAAGTGTACTGGTCTCTGTGTATTGTATTGATATAAATCCCTTTTTAGAGCTTCCTTTATTAGATGCATGTAAAGCTGTAGATCTGATTTGCTCAGATATTGGTGGATTTGCATGCTCATGTCTAGTCCACAATGATTTATCCTGGGGAACCAGCTCTACTCGTATTGGCACAGCTCCATAACCTCATGCCACATCCACCGAGTGCCATCCTTGTAAACATGGCCGATTTGCTCCGAGGTGCCGACATCCTGCCACATGGTGTGCGTTACTCTGTACGTTCGCCTCCATTAACAAAGTTTAGTTTACTGTAAATGTGCTTCTTGTGATTTTATTTTTCTTAGAGCTGTTGTCTTTTCTGTCAAGGTACAACTAAAATGATTTTCTGGAAATGTACAAGCTGTGAATATCAGCGTACAGACTCAAGAACAGCTTTATGAATGCAAACTGTGGCGTACTGGCTCCTAGAGTTTTTATTATTCCAACAGCTGACTACCTGGTTTGACCAGTGTTTGCTCCTTTTAACCCTTTCTCTCCAGCCTCTGCTCTATAATGTTTTATAATCATTAACGATGGCAGGATTAACAGCTTGTTAAAATCGATTTGGTTTTGAGAAATAGAGATTAGCATAGTGGCGTTAGCATTTTTTTAAACGTCCCCACATAAATCGTAACTATACAGCCAATAAAATGTAAACTGTGGCTCTGATGTGTCTAAGGTTTGAGCAGCTCGTTTGATTGGCTCCATATTTTCTATGGTGAGTCCTTCAGCGGCACTACGTTTCAGTTTAAGAACAAAACTTAAACTTGTGAACAGTTGTGTGGAGAGCATTTTAACTGGACTTGCATACCTCTGCTATGGTTAAAGTGGTGCTGGTGGAATGGTTTTAACGCTCAGGCACGAGATGATAACTGCACATTTAGTCTCATAATGCATGGTCTTTAAAAGAAACAAAGTAGTTTGTTAAACTAATACTATGACCTGACTATAAAACACGAGGAAGACCATCAGAAATTTTCAGATTGGTTAAGCCTGTCCCACCACTTGTATAATCAGGTAATTGGTGCCAAATTAGTGGTATTTTTAAAGTTGTCATGGTTAATGTTGTATTCTATATTAATATTTAAATGTTTAACAGATGTTACTTTTAGATCTGCATTTTCACAGATGTGCAGAGCAGTTTTAAAGGAAAGTGCTATGTGTTGTCATCATTGTATGTTCCCATACAGTGACGAAATTGGTTCTCTGCATTTAACCCATTGCACCTGGGTACAGCCAGATGGAGCAGTGGGCAGCTATTGAGCACCCGGGGAGCAATTAGAGATTGGGTGTCTTGCTCTGAGACATCATGACATGTGGGAATGGTTGGGAGTCGAACCGTGACTTCTGGTACCAAGTCGGCTGCCCTGCCTCTACCCCATCTAGGCTCCATTAGCATTAGTTTTAATAATTCTTATTTGTCTGTGTCCAACTTTTACTTTTATGAATAAACACATTTCATGTCAACTTCTTTACATACCTTTGTGTTTAATTTAAATTCGGTAATATCTTAGGTGAGAATAAGTTATTTATTTATATCTGATGTATGTCTGTTCCAGCAGACCTGTTTTCTGCTTTATAAATAATTAGTTGATGTCATGGTTTACCTAATGGGTATAATTGTTCCTATCATCATAGTGTTGTAAAATCTAAAGAGTTATTTCCTAAGACTAACTGTGCAAATATATATTTTTTGTAGTAGTTAAGCTCATAGCTTGTTTCACACTATAGGTTCAAGACTGAACTGTGATGGGGTTTTTGGGGTCACCTTTCTTGGTGAAAGGTACAGATTGGACATTTTGTTGACTGGAGATACGTACATGAAGGTTATGTTTGAGAGCAAGTGCCAGAGCTGTACTTGGAAGGAAAAGATGGCGCTTGTTTTATTTCGAGGAAAAAAGTTTAACCAGTAACGGTGTTAACCGACATGACGCTTTGTTCTGTTTAAAAAGTCTCCCATAACTTGGACAGCAGACGGTCTTTGTTGGTTTGAAGTTTAATGCCTGTTGAACGTGCGAGTGAATGGTTGATGGGCAGTTTTGTGTAAATGTATGTGTGCATGTGAATATGAGGCAACGGACTGAGAATATAACGGTTTATGGCTTTGGTTAGGCAGCATGGGCGGTTTGCATGAGGAGCTCAAAGTAAAGTTTTTGGCTTCTTTTTTTTTTATAAAGAAGTGACCACTGTACATGTTCATTTGTTAGAAATATAAAAATCACAATACAGTGACAGATTCTTAACCTTTCCCTTGTCATGGCTAATATTTGGTAACCCTCCAACATTTTTATAAGCACTCGTACTTTATGACTGAACAGAATGTTCTACGAAGGGATCTTACTCCACGCTCCTCCCGAAACAAAACCCAAGCTTTTCTTCATTTTTGTTTTCAAATTAAAAGATTTAGGAGCAGATTATTCCAATGTCCAGCTGTCAGACAGGTTCTAACACATCCAGAGATATCCATCAAGGAAGCACCAGCAAGTCTGGCCTGGCCACACCCTTTCTTCTCTCCCTGCTGGCCCGTTGGGTGGTGTCAAGTTTCCTCCTGCACTAAAACCTGCCCGGTACCAAAGATGTCACCGGCTATCTCAGCAACTTAGCTGCCTCCTTTGTTTGCCTTTTCATTGGTCACCGGGGATGCCAGGGCGTGCATGATAGGCTCGGGATGTTTTGCACTCGTTTCAGGTTATTGATCACTGGCAGAGGGCTTGGCACGGCACAGTGTGGTTCTTCACAGAGCAGATATCGATCAGGAGAGACTAAACGGTACACAGAAGGTCAGGAATTTATTTGGCATGTAAAGTGAAATATATAGTCTGTTTTGGACTCGTCAAACTCACTCAGATCACTAACAAAGTTTTACATTGGAGTGAAGTGGAGAGAGTAGTGACAAATCAGGGATTTAAACTTGGCTAATAATTCATAGTCCTCATGTTCATCTAATTCGGTGGTTGTTTTTTTTTGCTGCAGTTGAAGCTGCTGTTTTGCAGGGAATTGATCTATTTCCGTTCATCTTCTAGTTGTTGCATGTTAACAATATCAACGTCCCCCTTTGTTTTGCTCTTATTATCCCCGTTTCAGGGATTAGTCCTGTAAAACAAAATAAAAGTTGCCGATTGAAAAGGAACCTCATACAAATTCACATCTGTTCTGTTGTGTCAGAGCAGAGTTTGTGAGCCTCTATTGAATTTAACACTGATTATATTTTAATCTCACTCACTTATATGTTTTAGTGGACCCCCTTGTTTGTGTGCAAATAAAGTAACCTGTTTCTGCTTCATGTTTTGGGTATAATCACATAACTATGAAACAACTTTAAAGGGGATACACGATATTGGCTTTTTGGCCAATATCCGATATGCCGATATGTTAAAACGTGTTTGGCCGATAACCGATACAAATACTTTTTCAGTTTTTTTCTAGACCTACTTACAGAGACTACACAGCTTTCTCTGCTGTGGAATTAAAATACTACATTATTCTGCATGGTCTTTATCAGTTTGGCCTGCTACTAAATGCAGATGCTCAAAAAGGGGCTGAAAATGATGTAACACTTCAACTTGGATTATGTTTAAAGCCAAATTTATTCATAACATTTACTCTCTCTAACACAATAACACTCGAACAGTGCAAATTTGTAAATTTTCACAAATCTAAACTCAACAACGGCACACGTGATGTCATAACGTGCTGGCGCTGCAGACATCCTTGTCACTGGGTTGTCATACAAGGCGCTATATAAACAGCGCCTTTTATATCTGAGTTATTTTTGATGGAATGGCCGATATTTAACTTTATCATTAATATCGTCCGATACCATGCCGATGATATTGTGCATCCCTAGTTATGAGCAACCTCAGAGGCTGGAATATGGGATCCTAAGTGCAGCTATTAAAACTTTGTTTTAAATTTTAAAGTAGCTGCTGTAACGGGGCTCATTTGTCTGATTTGGATCAGTTAAGTGTTACCTGTCAAGAAAGTAAGAACTTAATGAACATTGCCCCAAAGCGAAAATGACAGTTTCGTTGCTTGACAGTTTTTTGTTTCTTTAATTTTTTTCTAGTTGACGTGAGCTCAGCAGCGCTTCCCTCGCAGGTTCCCCCCGCCACCACAGCCATTCTTCCCATGGACCTGCGTGTAGTGGACCACCCTCACCCCCACCACCACCAGCAGCCCACGTTTGGCCTGGCGTCCCATCCCAATCAGACACCGGCTCCCTCCACAGCATCGTCCGAGTCAGGCGGCGGGCCGGTCATTGGTAAGGACTGAAGATCTCTGGCCGACTTGTTGCATTCCATTTGTTTTCTCCAAATGATCCCATCATTAACACCCCCCCCCCCCGCCCCCCGTACCCACAGGCCACCAGGATCAGCAGCTGCAGCACGAGCTGGTGGCTCTCAAACACAAGCAGCAGCTCCAGAGGCAGCTACTGATCGCAGAGTTTCAAAGGCAGCATGAACAGCTGTCGAGACAACATGAAGCACAAATGCAGGAACATATTAAGGTACAAATCAAAGGGCCTTCAATTTGTCTGTGTTTTTCCTTGGATAATGTGCTAACCATCTTGTGAAGAGAAGGAGAAAACGTGATTGAACGTCAGTGGTTTTTTTTGGTGGTGTAATTTACTGCTTGGTTATCTCCACAAGAATCTTGGCTCCTTAAACCACGTGTGTGTGAATTTTATTAAAACAAAACAAAAAAAAATGTCCAGCTTATGTTTTACTTGGAGCTCACAGCCTGCAGAGACCAGCAGTTTGGGCTGAAAATAACAACAATATGCATTCTACAGCTTGAACTCTGTTGTCATTACTGCACTCCAACTTGGCTGCAGTCCAGCGTTTGGGGGTGAAAATGTTCGTAGCCGTTTGCTTTGGTGCAGCAGCCTTATGCTTTGCTCTCTCCGCATTCATTAGTTTTTCTCTCCACCAGCACCAACAGGACTTATTGGCTCTTAAGCATCAACAAGAGCTGCTGGAGCATCACAGGAAGATGGAGCAGCAGCGACATGAGCAGCAGCTAGAGAAGCAGCAGCGGGAACAGAAACTCCAGCTGCTGAAAAACAAGGAGAGGGGACAAGAGAGTAAGTAGCAACCAAAATGTTATTTGAAGTGTATCCATGACATGTTATATACTGTCCTCCTTTGAACAGCTGTGTAGAAATGATAACAGGTGTCAGAGGTACTTTTTCTCTACCAGCCCCTCGGTCACATCACCTGTAGTTTTGGCACAGCCGTTAGAACAGCCTGACCTCACACATTCACCATAGGGTGTCTCAAAGTGACCAAGACCGGTTAGAATGGAAAGACACTGAGGAGGCACACTTGTCCTTAGTTTGAAAGTTTCTTTGTGCCATCTAGATTTATCATGGGGAAATAACACATCAGAAATAAAGTTCAACCAGGTTAAAGAATGGAAATAATTTCAATTAGGGCTTCATTTCTCTTGTTCTGGTGAGTACACTCCACTGGAACTGTGAAATTGTTTTGTGGACCTTTAAAATACATTATGTAGTTGTTGCTGTAGTTGAAAGTGGAGTTACTGCTGCATGGATCTGTTCATTTCAACCCACACTGGTTTCCCTGCTCTGCAGCTAGCATGTCCATATTCAGCTCAAAGAAAACCAAACAGGCTGCTGCAAAAGAAGGACGAAGCTGAAAACAATTGGCAAAATGCATCTCAGTAAAGAGTGACACGTGTGCAGAGCTCAGATTCACCACTCGACGAGGAACCTACTGGATGAATAGTCAGTCTGGTTGATGTGTTACACATTAAGTCACCAGGAATGCTTACAGGCTGAAGCAGGGTTTCCAGGAACTCCAGAAATCAGGGAGAACGTAGAAAATGACTTTAACATCTTCCACACAGGAAATACTCAGAGAATTTAAGGAAAAAAAACATTAAAAAAAAATGGTGAACACAAAAGAAATTTGAACATTGATCCGTCGACTAAAAGATCTTTCTGGGATTTAGATTCAGTTCAATTCAGTTTATTTATATAGCGCCAAGTCACAACAAGTCGTCTCAGGGCACTGAACAGAAACATTCACATACATATAAAGTCAGTTAATAACATTATCTAAGGAGCCAACAGATTGCTTTGAGGTTTCAGTTACTCGCAGTCTCCCATCCTAAGCAAGAAGAGAGGCAACAGTGGAAACAGAGTGTCCGCGGGGTCTTGAAAGTTATTAAAAGTTGATAAATCAAATTTGGGAAAATTAAGGGTCTTGAAAAGTATTAAAAAGTCTTGAAAGCGATTTGATGAGGTATTATTTTTTTTGCTGTTATTCTAGCTTTAAATAATTTGACAGCAAAAAGTATGTATGACTAATATTTGTTTTCCTCACCGCGGAGGATTCGGAAACTGCTTCGCACAAATTTAGAGTGTCAGGTTACAACAGCCTTAACGGCTAGGCCTATCTTGTGCGCATGCGCGACTGCTTTGAGTCTGTGTGTTCGAGTAAGTTGCCGCGAGACCGTGAGAACAATGGGTAAATGCAAGTTTTCGGACTCCTGGTTGGAGATGCCTGATTTTCAAGAATGGCTGAGGCCTGTCGCCGAGAATAACCGCGAGGCTTATTGTACATTTTGTAAAAAAAAGATGAGCGTAGCCTCGATGGGCATAAAGGCCACAGTGGAGCGTGGATTCTCAGTTAACAAGCAGGTCAAAACCTGCAACATACACGAAGAGACGATGGAGGCTCTGAGGTTGATCTGCGACAAGGTCAGTGTCTGTGGGGGTGTTCTGCAGGTACCTCTGGCCAAGGAGCTGCTGGCTTCTGTTGCCTCTGCAAGGTCAAAGTACAGGATTTACCTGGAACAGCAACGAAAGAAGAAAGAAACTTCCACACAGAGCCTTAAGAGGAAAGCAGCTGGAGCTGAGTTAGAAGAGCTGAAAAAAAAAGAGAAAACTTCTACAAGAGGTGTGCGATTCTCTGCAAAAAGATGCAGATCAGTTGGCAGAGCAGGCAGAGGGAAAGTCAGGTTCTTTAATGGCCCAACTGATCACCAAGTCCAATGTCTTGAGAAGGAGACGTAAAGAAAAACTCAGTGAGCTGGTGCAAACTGAAGAGTTGCTGGAATGCAAAGCAACTGCACTGAGGCACATGTAATGATTACTGTGTTTATTTCTTATTCGCCATTGTTCAACCAAGTTACTTTAAAATAACTACGAGTCTTGTTGTAACCTAAGCTATATTTTCTTAAACCTAGTCGTGGTTCAGTTTCTTCTTTTGAATTTTTTTCTATCCACTGTATCTCAGTTCTGTTGTAGGTTTGAGATTCACAGATTTAATTGAAAACAACAGCAGTTTTGTAAATCAAAGATTTGTTGCTTAATAAAACAAAGTGACGATAAGGTCTTGAATTTATTTTGGAAGGTCTTGAAAAAGTCTTGAAAAGGTATTGAAATTAACTTCATTATTTCTGCATATACCCTGGGAAAGGAAAAACTCCCTCATGAGGAAGAAGACTCCAAAAGAACAATGTTTTAATTCTAATATTCTAGTATGTTGGGTCCGTGTTCTGCTTCTACAGTGTACATAGTACATGTATCCTCACTTATTGGCTATGATGGCTTTTTAATATGTTCTGTAATATAATAAATTATTAGGAATGATTGCTGTGTGCATGTACCGTATACTGCAGTATACCGGTACTTACTGTCATCTCTTAATGGGACTCTGCCTCCCACATACGATGCTAAGTTCTGAGCATTTCGTGTGACTGAAATATCTCCTGGAATTTCAGGACTCTCTCAGAAAATCTGGGATCTTTGTTTTCATGAAGTGTTGGGAGCCCTGTGAAGGACGTGTCTTATTTTGGTATTAGAGTGACATTTCGTTGATCGATCAAACTGATGGATCATAATGTTTGAATTGGATGTTGCTTTTACTTAGTCTCTGTTTAGGGAGGGATTGTGCTGCAGAAACAATATTTGAATCAAACAGTTTTCTGTAGATGGTTAGTTTGTAACACAATTTGATGCATTAACGTTTCACTCATTTTTATTTGAGGATGCTTGTGTTTTATGCAACGTGTGCAATGCCAGTTTTGATAGCCTATACAGTAGTCCCTTGCTAATTCGTGGTTCGTTTATCGTGGACTTGCTCTATCGCGGTTTTTCAAAATAAGATTGGACGTGACGCAATTGGCTGATTGATGGATGAGCTGCATGATCTGCATGGAATTTTTATTTAAAATTAATTATTTTAAATTATTTAGCACCTGCTGCACCGTTGTGCAGCCCACAGCTGCAGGATGAACTTCCTGCTGCAGCTGATCAGCTGTTCACCGTGCAGAGTGGAGAAGTGGGCGTGGCCAAGAGCACTTGCAGGTGGCTGAGAGCAGCTGAGGCAGGGAGCTGAAATCGTGTCATTCTGTGCTCTTTGAGAGCATTTAGAGTTTAGAAACATTGTTTAGAATATTGATATATATATATATATATATATATATATATATATATATATATATATAGGGCAGCACGGTGGCGCAACTGGTAGAGCTGCTGCCTCTCAGCGAGCAGGTCCCTGGTTCAAACCCCGGTCCAGGGGCCCTCTGGGTGGAGTTTGCATGTTCTCTCCGTGCATGGGTGGGTTTTCTCCGGGTACTCCGGTTTCCTCCCACAGACCAAAAACATGCATGTTAGGCTGATTGGTAACTCTAAATTGTCCCTAGGTGTGAGTGAGAGAGTGAATGATTGTTTGTCTCGTTTGTCTCTATGTGGCCCTGTGATGGACTTGCGACCTGTCCAGGGTGTACCCCGCCCCTCGCACAGTGATTGCTGGACATGGGCACCAGCGACCCCCGTGACCCAAAAATGGAATAAACGGGTAAAGATAATGGATGGATGGATATATATATATATATATATATTATCATCTATCTATCTATCTATCCATCTATCCATCTATCCATCTATCTATCTATCTATATCAGGGCTTCAGGGTACGGATCCCTCGTGATAAACGAGGAACTTCTGTAATCTATAACAGGGCTATTCAATTTGCAGCCCACGGACCATTTCCGGCCCGCAGGTGACTTCGATCCGGCCCACCAATGACTTCATTAATATATATATATATATATATTTTTTGGTTTTGTTCTGGGTTTGGGTTTCTGTTTATTTCATTTATGATTCAATGCAATAAAATAAACATTGTAAAACTTGGTTTATTTACCTAATGACTTTAATCGCTGCATGTCCGGCCCCTGAGCTGCTGGCTTTCAGAAACGGTGGCCCCCTGAGCATTTTTGTTGAATAGTCCTGATCTATAATCTCGACTCTTCTGTAAACCTTGTCAAAATCCCATGTAAACATGCAGACAGTGTGGTGGTTCTGAAGCAAATTTGACTGCGAAATGCAAAAAGCAAAAAAAGTGAAAACATTTACAATGAACTATTTGGTTTATTAATGTTTTCCTGTTACAAGCTGCATATCCTGGAAATAGATTTCTTATCATTCCCAGATCTCTGTAATCAACTCGGCCAAACTTAAGAGACCAAAGTTGTTCTCACTGGACTGTAAGAGCTGCCAGGAGTCATGATGATCTGACTGCAGTGTTACTTTTCTGTACTCGGATTTACAACTCGAATCCATCCGAAACCGATACGTAAATGAGAATCTATGCGGTTGCTTATTTTTCTGGCAGGAACATAGTGTCATTTAATAGTTTAAGTACACCATAGTTAATAAACTTAAACCATTTTTATGCCAGTTAACTTTTTTTTTTCCTGTCATTACTCATTGGGCAGTGTGAGATTACAGTTTGACGTCTGTGGAAAGAGCATTGGGTTGTAAACAGGCAATGCTTTGTTGAGTACTGTTCTAAATTGCGTGGAGGCAGTCTCATAAAAGGACATGTATTGGAGCTGTCAGCACTTACAGCTGCACCATTATTTAGAGAACACAAATTAGATGTTGTCACTTTCACGTACTGAACTGACCACTTCCTCTCTCAGGCCTGAGACATCACCTCATGTCGCTCTCACTGTCGTGTTCCAATAAAAGGTTTTTCCTGCTTCCTCGAAACAATTTTCATCACACTGTCCCCCCCCCCCTTTGTCTTTCATTCATTGGGCAATTTGTTTCTATAGCCGAGGAATGAGAGCAGTAATTGAGAAGATTGGAGTGCAACTTCTGATGTTACATAGCACTCCTGCTGTCCTTGTGGAATTTCAATAAAACTCTGAGCACTCTGTTTATACAGGTTTGGGTGCCCATTATTGGTCAAAGCATTGATGGATGCTGTTATAACCTTCATGTTAGTGTCACATTTTGAACCAGAGGTTTGATTCAGTAGATTTTTCAAGCACAATCTTCTCCATGTAGGGCAGCGGTTTTCAAACTGTGAGACATGAAGCTCCAGCTGATAAAAGTATGTGCTTTTTTTTGGTTCTTCTACTTTCCTATATTCCTGTAGAATCATGATTGTTTTTACTAAGTCTGCACCCACTCTGCAAATAAACCAGGATCACCACATGTTTGGCACCTTTAAACCAGACGAGTCTGGTGTCACATGGTGTTTGTCAAGTTTTGGATTAAAAAAAAGCATTTATCTATTGTTCTCATGTTCTCTTTGATGCTGTGTAGGTGCAGTGGCCAGTACAGAGGTAAAGATGCGACTGCAGGAATTTGTTCTGAACAAGAAGAAAGCCCTGGCTCAGCGAAGCCTAAACCACTGTCTGCCTAGTGATCTGCGCTACTGGTATGGGTGAGTATCAGTGGTCACTGTTCTTGATTGATGGCAGGATGGAGCAGGGCCTTGTCTGCAGCAATGAAGGTCTTGCTCTCTTCATTTGTTGTGAAGAGGAATCTGAGACAAAAGGCAAAAGTCTCAATTTACTGGTCTGTCTGCATTCCAACTCTCAGCTATGGTCATGACTGAAAGAATGAGATCCTACAAGTGGCTGATGTGAAATTCCTCTGCAGGGTGGCTGGCTCAGCCTTAAGGTGGTATCTTTCTAGGCTGGACTGTTGGGAGACTAGCTGGCGACTCAATATTGTGAGAAAAAACTCCAAATTTTTGCTATAGTCTCATTGAATGCGGAGTGTTTGCTACCAAGTGACCAGTAGCTGTGTGGCCAAGTTTTGAGTTTCTAGTTTTTAAAATCATGGCTTATGTTCACATGCTATATTCTTGGCCCTGCAAAGATTTTTTTTTTGTCCTCCTCCATCCACACTGCACTCACCTTGGCCTATCTCCCCCCCCCCACACCCACCTTGGAAGCTGCCCCTACATTTATGATTTGGTGCCAGAGCACACTTTTTATAAATTAGAACAGGCAGATTGTAATATTCAAGGTCAAGTTCAAGGTGTCTTTATTGTCATTCATGGTACATTTATGGTACATATGTTGGGACAAAACTATGTACACAGGGTCCCAGTTACATCCAACAAAAATACAAATTGTAAAGAAAAACAGTAGTAAGATCAAAGATATGAACTAAGAAATACACTAAACTAATAATATACTAAGCACCAATAGTACAAAGCAATGCGCCAAACAACAACAGCAGCAAGAACATGAGTCTGTGAGCAGATGAGGACAAATGAACACAGCAACATGAAATAAATCAGCAGCATGAGATCAGCAGCATGGATAGTCAGCAGCACATATCAACAATCAAGTGGCATTACAGTGATTTATTTACAGTGGTTTTCACAGTGATAATCCTGACTAGAGATTCATGAGTCTAACAGACTCAGGGTAGAAGCTGTTCCTCAGCCTAGTGGTTCTACACTAAATGCTCCTCAACCTTCTGCCTGAGGGGAGCGGGGCAAAAAATGTGTGTGCTGGGTGAGTGGGGTCCTTCATGATGCAGCTGGCCCTCTTCCTGCATCTGGAGGCGTAGATGTCTGTGATGGTGAGGAGGCTTACTCCGACAGACTTCTGTGCAGCCTTCACCACTCTCTGCAAAGCTTTTCTTTCAGTATTTATCATCAGCGTAATTTTTAGATCTGGACATTTGCCTTGGATGTTTCCTGTGCAGGTGTCAAAATGCCACTCTAGTGCTCTTGAGACGAGTTATTGGTGCCTGCAACAATTCAGATGAGTTGAAGAAGTCCACAATGACTGACTATTTTTTCCTACATGACTATTTTCAATTCCTACATTTGTTCAGTTTCAATACTTTTGTGTCTGTCTAAACAGGTCTCAGTTGTAAATGAGTCTTCGAGGCTCAGTGTGATGTATCTGTCTAAATAAAGGTTGAATTGAATTTTGCAAGAAAACATGTTGTTGCACACATTTAAGAACTCAAGTGAAAGGACTATGCAACTCAGCAACTCATGCAAGGAAGTTGAGAGCCCCACAAACATTCCAGGATATCCAGGAGACTTCCACGTGAATGTGATTTGTCAACTTGTCACAGCGCAATCCGATGATGACACCTTTAGAGATAAACTGATGAGCCCCATAATCTGATGAGAGCTCAGAGTGAAACTGCTGCTCTTTTTTGGAAAAGAAGGTGGCTTGGTGCCTCCCTATGGAGGTTTCCCATGCATGTCCCACAGGGAGGGAGCCCTATGGCAGACCCAGAATTTGTTAAAGGGATTAGACTGTATGTCCCCGCTGGCCTGGAAAGGCTTAGGATCCCACAGGAGAACCTGGAGATTGTCTTGAGGAAAAAAGAAGTCTTGAGTTTCCTTTCTGGACCTGTTGCCTTCATGATATGAGCATGAATAACTGGACAAAACATCCATCCATCCATCCATTTTCTTTACCCGCTTATTCCATTTTGGGTCACGGGGGTCGCTGGTGCCAATGTCCAGCAATCACTGTGCGAGGGGCGGGGTACACCCTGGATGGGTCGCAAGTCCATCACAGGGCCACATAGAGACAAACGAGACAAACAACCATTCACTCTCTCACTCACACCTAGGGACAATTTAGAGTTACCAATCAGCCTAACATGCATGTTTTTGGACTGTGGGAGGAAACCGGAGTACCCGGAGAAAACCCACGCATGCACAGAGAGAACATGCAAACTCCACCCAGAAAGGCCCCTGGACCGGGGTTTGAACCAGGGACCTGCTCGCTGAGAGGCAGCAGCTCTACCAGTTGCGCCACCGTGCTGCCCTGGACAAAACATGATGTATAAAATTAAAGGAAACGTGTAGAAACCTTGTACTGTCGTGGCCCATTAAACTAAGTAAAAACTCATTTCTAGTCTAATTTTAACTATGGAAAGCTAAGGATTTTATTTTTTGATCACCTTTAAAAGTGGTTGTACAATATATCATTGAGATATTTGTGTTAAAATAAAAAAAAAAAACCCATAAAAGACAGATTTTTTTTTTACCATTATGTGTTTTCCACAAACTTCAGAGCTATAACAAATCAGTTATTTATTTTTCTTTCATCAAAGACTTCTGTGTCCGAGTCATCGCCTGTCTCATTTCAATGAGGAAAAAAATAAATAAAAATCACATTAAGGAGGAAAATCAAACATAACTGTGGATGACAGACATAAAGTTCTCTCATCTTTATGGCTTTGCAAACATGGCAAACAGCGTGGTGTTGTGAACCCCCCGTTGTGTGGGTGCCTGTCATCTGTGCTTTTGTGTGCACATCAAATTGCCAGCATCAACATTAGATTCTGTGAGTTTAAATTGTGGAGGAAAGGCTGCAGCACGGAGGCTTTTTCTGTCCGTTTGTTGGCGGTGATTGACAGTCCGCTCTGTCAGAGGTGTGTTTGAAGTGGGCAGTAAGAAAAAAAAGAAAAACATGGCTTTTTTTTTTCTTCTTTAAATGTTTGAAGCCAGGCAGCGTATCTGCCTGCGCACAAGTAGCTCTAAATCACTGTTATACCAGCTTTTTAAAAATTAGCCCTTCGTCGCTGAGCTAAGAGGAGGAATTGGAGGTACCCCCTGTCTGTCTGTACATGATAATGTGGAAAAATAAGCGAGTTACCAGCTTCCATTTTGGTGTGTGGTTGCATCTAGTTGTAAGAAAGGTCACTTTCAAAAACTGGGTTATGTCAAAATCCAAGACGGCCACCACCATGTATATATGTAAACAGACCACCCCTATCATTTGAGGAAACTATGCTTTCTAGTTTTTATATTGCTTAAATGTATATTTTCCTTAAATGATTGTGGTGGCCCTTGGGGTGACCAAGGCCACCATTGACCACCCCCTGGCTCCGCCATTGCGCCTGGTGGTGGATAAAATTGCTCTCTCCACTCACCAGGATCCATCACTCTGTGCTGCCTCAGACAAGCACAAAAAAGCTTCTTCTGTTCTACACAGTGCAACTCCTACGCTCTTTAGTATCTTGCACCAAAAACATTAAGGTTTACATTCCCTGTTCAATTCCAGGCCAGAAAAACACTCACTGTTCAAATCCCTCAGTGACAAGGGGCAATGGTGTTCGCTTGTCTCCTTGCTTCGTCAACCTGTTGAAGTCCTCTCGTCCTTCGTACACACGTCCTGTCTTTAGGTTTTATTCTGATGTTTTTCTTTCATCCTAGTTGGCTAGATGAACTTCAAATTAATAGTTCAGATTAAATGAGGGTCCCTTTTCTCTCACGTTTGGGTCTTTTTTGCTTTCCACCCACCTAAATCTTTACGGACACTTTAATGCGTCTTTTAAATTCTTGGCCTTGAAAAGAGAAATGAAAGCGGACTGTTTTACTTCCCTTGTGTGTGGGTGCATGCGTGTGCGTGTGGAATGCAAGGTACGGTTGTTGTAGGAGGATTAGATATTAAAGAAGTAGGTATAGCATATTACTCTCTGGATAGAACTCGTTCTTTTTTCTTTTTCTTTTGCAGAAAAACCCAACATAGCTCTTTGGATCAGAGCTCACCCCCACAAACAGCACTGTCGGCGTATAACCACCCGATGCTGGGCACATACGACTCAAAAGACGACTTTCCACTACGAAAAACAGGTACAAAATTTAAAACTTTACTGACGGTTTTCCTTCTAACGTGCATCCACAAATCATCATGTCATCGCAAGTGAGAATGGAGCACTAATCTGCTTTACTTGCAGCTTTAGCAACTGGAAATGAGAACTTGTCTTATTAGCTGAGTCAGAAACCAGGAGTGATTAATTATGACATCTGAAATATTCTTTTCTCAACGTATGAAAAATTTCTCGACCTCTCCTGAATTATTCTATAGTACATGAGGGTTAAGGGAGGAAAATAGTACGGCGGAGCTTTAGGGCCACGCTAAGAAAAAAGAAATTACATTGCCATGTTAAGAAAAAATAAAGTTAATAGCCATAAAATTACAAGAAAAAAGTTGTACTATTACGAGAATAAAGTCGAATAAAGTCTTAATATTATGAGAATAAAGTCATACGAGCTTATTTTTTTACAGCTCTCGTTTATTTATTTATTTATTTTTCCACGAGTCGGGTCCACGATGCAACCCGTCAATCAATCCAGTAGGCGTGTCAGCAAATGACCAATCCGAAGCTAAATGAGTCGTAATATTATCCGAACTCTGACACGATAAAGCAGGTTTACTTCATTTTAACTGTGGTAAAATGAATGTTGAGCATCTTGTTAAATTATACTTTGTTATTGGTTTTACAAATAAGGAGATAGTTAATCTGTTAGCACATCAGCATCAGATTATTATCAGTATCAGAACTTTAAACCTGCTTACAGTAAGGTGGTACGCTCTGCAGGTAACGAGCATTTGGATTGATTGACGAGTTGCGTCATGGATCTGACTCGTAGAAAAAAAACTAATAAATAAACGAGAACTGTTAAAGAAAAAGTCTCGTACAACTTTATTCTCGTAATATTAAGACTTTATTAAACTTTATTCTCATAATACTGCAACTTTATTCTCGTAATTTTATTACTTTAATTTTTTTTTTCTTAGCATGGCCCTAAAGCTCCATCATAGATTTTTTTTTTATGACAAATTGTAAATTTGACACCAGTAAACAAAAAATAGGGGGTGTTAAATAAAATAGGATAAACTGTTGATATGAAATTTGGTAGCAACCAAAAACTGTGGTTGATGAGAAGTTGTGGCAAATCGTTCGGCGTGAAGACAGAATAGAGGAAAACTGCTACCTTCATTTATTGTCATATCATATATCATCATGTATGCATACTAAATGATAAACCATATTATACTTTTTATTATATGCCCGATAGGTTACCATATCATTGCATTCTGTTTTTAACCAAAGCACAGAATAATGGCAGCAAGTACATTTTGAAGCAATAAGCAATATGCAAAAAAAAAAAAGAATGCTAGAAACTTATGATGGATAATTAATCTGAGATTAATGGTTAGGGTAAGTATTGAAAACTTCAACTGGATCTGTTTTTCACTTATAATCAGCTGTTTGTTCCCATAAGCAGCTGTAACGTTTAGATTGACGTCAGGCCTCCCATATAGGACCTCAATGAGAGGTGCCTGGTAAATAAAAGTTAAAATGAATAATAAAGTGAAATTTTCACAATAAATAGATTTTTTTCTGTTAAAAGGCCTTCAAGTTTTTGCTGTGTTTTTGACTAACTCCTACTGTTTTTATTGAACCTGTTGAGCTACATTTCTTCATGGTAACCATAAATAACAGCCCACCGTTCACCCTGGAAGGAATGTAAAATAAATATAAATTCTTGCTTTTGGATGCATCAGACTCTGTCCATCTGCTCCCATTCAGAACAGCCAAGCTGTGATTATTCACTTAGCTTCGGCAGCTGCTTCGGTTCCACCACTGTCTGCTTTCACAGCTGGAGAACAAACTCTGTGTACTCTGCTCTGCAGCCCACCTGCTGTGATTTGGAGACAGAAACCTCAGACCGTGAGTTTTAACTTGCAGGGACACTCGGATACAACCCAGGATTTTCGTCTGAATGAAAAATCACAAGGGGCGGTGCAGTTCTTATTGACAGTTCTCAACAAGTACAAGTCGTGTAAAAGTGCACAGAGTTTGGTTCTGGAGGAAATCGTGCAGACACAGCTGCTGTGTAAATAGCTGGCATGGATAATATTAAAGTTGCTCACAGAGACACAAACTGTGTTCAAGAGGAAGTGAGTGACGGTGCTCAGTTCATGTGTGCGCTCTTCACGTCACGGATGACGTTTTTCCCCATGTTGGCCCTTTATTTATGTAAACTCTAAAAATGCATTAAATGCTCTGCGAGTTGGGGCATCCAGTGATTTACAACAGGGCTTTGTGATAATGACTCTTGGAGCACAGAGGGACACTTTGAATGCTGTGGCAGGAAGTCTGCAAGTTTTCTTCATTCCAGAGATTGACTTGTCACGCTGACCTTTCTTTTTCTTTTTTTACACACAACTACAAACGCACACACTGAACACTACAGTGAAGACTTCACTATCATGGTAATTTAGAGTCTCATAGTTTTGCCAATGGCTTTAGATTTTAGCAAACATTTTTAAAACTACTGTAATAAATTTCTTCTTGGACCATAAACTTACTAGTCAATCTTGAATTTATATAAATGGATTTTCTTTGTTGTCCTTAGTCAAATGATTGTTGAACTTGTTGGACAGTTAAAGTGTCATGAAACCTTGTCTAATGAAACTCAATGTTACTGAATCCTGGAGGTGTAAATTTTATTGTGATCTTTTCAAGGTTGGAAAAAACATATATACATATATATATATATATATC